AAAAAATTAATTATTAAAAACATTTTGCTATAAAAATGATCACTCTAACTTCTAGTATTAAAAAACTAACGCTTTTTCGGTCAAAATCTTCTTTGTTATTTGTATTGTTGAAAGAGTAAGAGTAATACTCTTTTTATATGCTCTTTCTACATCAAAATTTAGTTTGCTAAATTAATTGATAAATCATTTAAACTGGTCACACTGTAATTGATGAGCAGAGCAATAAAGAGTAGCTTTCGCTCTGCTCTTTTAATCTATGAGGTCTCGTCTACATTGTATTTACATATATTATTTAAATTTTTGCCATATAATTTGATGCTATTTTTCCACAAATATAGTAAACATGTTTATATATTATATACTATGTCCGCACCTTCGTATGAGAATTGCTTGTCTACGAACAAATCTATTCATTAAGTGAGTATATGTGGAGATTACCGGTTAAAAAGTAATTTAATCACATATTATTATTATGTGAAAGCTGTTTTTTGCTGGCACGTTGAATATAAACAAGTGCTAATATATACATACACTAATAAATATGCATAGTATTTTTATTTTGTAGCGAAATGATACAAAATATTTCCTTTTAGTACGAAATAAAGTTATATCTATGCTGAGAAAAGTGTGTATCAAGTTTGTCATGAAGTTGGTAACACTCAGCAAGCAACGTCACAAACGATATTATAAAATATACATATGTATAATATATGTGACCTGGTCTACGAAAAGGGAGCTAACGTGCGAAAACTAGTTTTCTAGAAAACAGCTGTTAAAAATCTCATCTTCCATCCGAATCAACTAAAAAGTGAAAATTGATTTTTTGGATTTTTTTTACACCTAAGCCCCCTTTCCGTAGACCAGGTCACATATACATACATTTATTAGGGGTTTCATATTGTCACATAAAGTTATGAGTTATAATGTATCAGAAACAAACACATAAAAACAACAATTTTTTAAACAAGTGCAAAAATTTATGATTTTATGCTTTTACGATATGTTATGGCTTGTTGTGAGTCTGCTATATGTATTCTTATGTATATAAATCGCTAGCGGCTTAGTTATAGCCATGTCCGTATGTCGATATCTACATATACACGCGCTAGTCTTTCAGTTTTTGAGATATCGTTCTGAAATTTTGTATATGTCCTGTTTTTTCCAAGAAGCTGCTCATTTGTTGAAATCGCCGATATCGGACCACCACAACATATAGCTTCCATATAAACTGTGTGGTCGGAATGAAGTCCTTGTATGGAAAACTTTTTTATTTAACGAGATAGCTTCACGAAATTTGGTGCATATAATTATCTAAAGCAATACTACAATAGCCAAAGAAATCGTGCTGATCGGGTCACTATAGCGTATAGCTGCCATATAACCTGTGTGGTCGGAATGAAGTTCTTGCGTGGAAAACTTTTGTATTAGAAAAGATAGCTTCACGAAATTTGGTACATATAATTACCTAAGGCAATACTACAATCGCCAAAGAAATCGTGCCGATCGGGTCAGTATAGCGTATAGCTGCCATATAACCTGTACGGTCGGAATAAAGGCTTTGTATGGAAAACTTTCTATTTATTATTTATTTGTCAATATATGTTCACGAAATTTGGCATGTATCATAAAATAAATATTTATTTTCTTCTGTACCACCCTAATAGGTGAGCAGGCATTCCAGTAAATATATACATATTGATTAAATAATAATCTATTGTGTATATGTGGGTAGATAACTGTATGCATACGGTATGAACACTTGTCGGGTTCAACAACAACGACTACTGGAAACTAAAAAAAAAAAACCGGCCAAACAATGCCGGTGAGCACTAAAAAGTATTTGCTAGCTATCTACTGTTGCTCAATTTAGTAATCGCTTGCATTTCATGCTGAACAGTTAATTAAAATTAAATAAATTTTTTCGTTAAATTCCACTAAGTAACTTTTGAAAATATTTAACATGGAACGTTGGTCAAATTGCACAGCTGTAGTCACCGGTGCCAGTTCTGGCATTGGTCTTGCCATTGTTAAGGACTTGCTGAAGGAGAATATGCGCGTTGCCGGCTTGGCTAGGCGCAAGGAACGCATGGAGGAATGGCGTGCAACATTGCCCGAGGAACAGCAGAAGCGTTTTTATCCCGTCAGCTGTGATGTCTCATCGTTGGAGTCGGTTAATGAAGCCTTCGATTGGGTTATCAAGAATTTGAGTGGTGTCGATGTGTTGATCAATAATGCTGGCATTTACAATGCTGGACAAGCCACCGAAATGGATCCGGCCAAATTGCAAGAGGTATTGCAAACCAATGTCATGGGTGTGGTCTATTGTACACAACGCGCTTTCGGTTCAATGAAGGATCGTAGTGTTGACGGGCATGTGGTGATCATTAATAGTGTTTTGGGGCATTGTGTGCTACTTAGTGAACCGCATACGTCGCCCACTTCCAATTTGTATGCGCCAAGTAAATATGCGTTGACCGCTTTAACGGAGGTGTATCGTCAGGAGTTCCGTGGACTTGGTACCAGAGTTAAGATCACTGTGAGTACAGAGCAGTTTCCAGATAGCTACTGCTTACTATATTTATGTGCGATTACGAACTGTTAATATGCCTACTTCGGTCTTTTTATTTCACAGAGTGTCAGTCCCGGCTTAACCGATACCGATATTGTGGCGGCACGCTCGCGTGGCGGCAAACGACCAATTCTACAGCCAGAAGATGTTTCTCGCTGTGTATTATTTACACTCTCGACACCAGCTCATATGCAAGTGCATGAAATTATAGTAAAGCCAATGTTGGGCGAATAGAATGGAGTAGATATTAGAGCTGAGCTGAATGAAATATTAAAATACTAAATAAAAGTTATAGAAAATATTTGTGTATATAATATTTTTTTTAAATTAGTTAGGGTGGTCCTTAAGCCTAAAGCCGCACAAACGTGTAAATATTTGGTATAATTTCTTCCAATTTGATCTGTATATAGTATAAGTCGATCAGATTTTAAATAGTTATCGCTTACTATATATGATATTTAGTTGCGGTGATGAGGAGTAGCGGGCGAAATTGTAGGTTGGAGAGAGGCCATTTTCGCTACTTTTGACGAGATTCTTAAAGAGTGTTTTTTTTTTCTTGCATATAATTTTGTTTGTGAAACTAGCTGTCAAAATAATACACGTTGAATTGTCCATATAGTTTTCAACATATTACTAAAGGGTGACCTATTTCGTGGTTCCCTAGTTTTTTTTTTGAAGAAACCAAGAAACTTCAAATTTAGTGTTGAGTGTTTATTACGGATATCATTTGAAAGAACATTATTTGGCATTTATTTTTTGAAGATTATCTCTTACAAATGTAGGCCGCGGCTCATTCATTCCGTCCAATTTGCGATGATTTATTTCAGCATTTCGACTGGTAACTGCCGAATGACAGGGGGATGTTTTGCTCCAAGGTCTGAATTCCCAGAAGAAAATATCTAACGGTGTGAAGTCACCACATGATCTTGGTGGCCAACCGGCCGGCCCAAAACGTGAAATTAACTGTTCACCAAAGTTTTCTTTCAATAAATCCATTGGTACGTTCGATGTGTGGGAAGTAGTGCCGTTTTGTTGAAACCAAACGCCATCAAGATCACGACCCTCAATTTTAGGCATCAAATAGTGGGCTATCATTTCACGATAACGGTTGCCATTGACGGTTACGTTCACATCGGCATCATTTTTGAAGTAATATAGAATGATGATTCCAATAGCCCACAAACCACAGCAAACCTTTGTTTTTTCTGGATCAAATGGCTGTTTTTGAATCTCTTTAGGTTGCACTTTCTTCCAAATGCGCCAAATTTGCTTGCCTACGACGGCTCAATGAGCCAGGAATCGGCCTCATCGCTAAAAAAAATTTGGCTCGAAAACGTCGTATATTCTTGGAACTTTTAAGGAGCGAAACGATGTAGCTAGATAAGGTGGTGTTCAGATATAAGCCATTCCGTGATGAAATTCCAAATAATATGAAACAAAAACAACATGACAGCTTGACACGATATACGAGTGATCTGTCAAAAAAGGTTATTTAAAAAAGTACCCCTTCTTGATTAACCCGTTATATTATTGAAGTTTGTGAGTGTCTACTGACATTTAAAAGTTTTATTTTGAAATCTTCTGTGACTATCTATAAAAAATATATTTTATCTTATCTAAAACGCATTGGAGATTGTCATTTAATAGTTTGTGCCTATAAATAAAATGTGAGGAAGAGCTAATTTTTGGTGATACCGAACATTTTATATACATACCGGTATATTGTGGTTAGGCGACCATTCAATGACCATTTTATCAGAATACGTATCTAACGTCGACGGAGAAGTCTTATCAAATGACAGTTTTGATTGGAAGAAAGTGTATGAAATTCATATGTGACATAACCTCGTCCAATAGATAAATGAATGCAGAAGTCACAGCCAAGGAAATATCTTAAGGTGTAAAATGTCAACCAAAGGATCGGAATACAAGCAATTTTTTTCGGTATGAGGTTTGTTAGAAAAAGGAAAATCATTATAAATATGGATATGGGAGTTAGGATAGTATCGACCCGATTTTATCTTTTAACTATTAACATATCACATTGTAGAAAATGTTCACTGGGTTTCAACAAGGTACCACATATACAATCAACAATCATAAGGGGCAAAGTCAGTTATTAAGTTGCCAACCAATTGTATCTATTTTAGGCACAAAGATACACTGTTCTGAGTAAAACACGCTCTGTAATCTTCATTGAGAAAGCCGATATATGCAGTACAAAGTCACCCGGAAGTTCGCAAATCTTCATGTTAAGTATCTGGGGGCTCAGAGAAGTATTGACCTCATTCAAACCATCTTTAATACACATAATAACTATTTTCAGGAAATGAATTTCAATTGTTTATCTCACACATAGACCGATATTTTCAGCCAAAAGTAAACTATGGATAATGGAGGCTTGAACAGTTTTGATTAGATTTGTACAATTTTTGGTAAAAAGTTGGCATGTTTTAAAGAATTATTAGTGCAAAATGTCGTTATATAAATTACTCCTCGATTTGTGTAGTGGAAAGTGAAATAATCAAATGGAATTTAAATTTAATGGAAGTAGGCGTGGTTGATGTCCGATTTCGTTTATTACCGCATTGTGATATGTGAATATGAGAACAATGGTACGTACTAAATTTGGTCGAAATCGGTTGGTCGAGTCCCGAGATATGATATTTCACCAAAAAGTGGGCGTCCTATTTTTATACCAGCTCCCAAAAAGCAAAAAGTCTCATTGCCAGAAGCACGATTAATGGACAATGCTAACCACGATAGTTTAACAGAAATGTTAATAAACAGCGATAGTAGCAGGAAGCTACTTTAAAAACTTACTCTGCTAATGGAATTTCCACCTTAGCTGAAAGGAACTATAAACAATGGCGGTGGAAATAGGAAAAGGCAACTGATGATATTCGTTCTTGAGAACACCAACGACATTTTTGGCAGCTGGAAGAAGCTTACTGTGATCCAGTGGCAACTGAACTTGTTTGTTAATTTTATACATGTATATATATATGTGTCAAGATACATACAATTTCGTGAGAACAGGACCTATTTAATTATAATTTTATCAGTTCAACAGGACTTACCTCACTAAATACTCTAAAGCGCACTCTGATCCCCATATACGTAGGTGCCCTTTTCACATCTGAAACACAGTTTGTATACACCTTCTGCCAGTACGCCGTTTGCTCCTGCTGCCACTGACCATTATATATACATATAATATACAACTAATAACGCCGGCACACACTTATCACGGTTAAATAATTAAAAATCCTGAACCGCCCTGATTACTACCTAATTTTACTAAAAAAACAATAAATTGCAATATTTACACCTTTATAATATTTAATATAGTATTTAAGCACTTACTGCACCTTATTTCACTTTCTTCGTAATTTTCACTAAACTCTTTTCCTTACATCTAACAATTTATTTGCATCCACATAACATAACAAACGTTAACATAACATTTTATGCACAAGCACTGGCAGAGCTCTGCTTGCGGCGACGCTTACCGACGCTTACAGCTTCTGCACACATTTATTTTCACTTTAATTTTTATTACACAAATAACAACGCCCGATTGCTGTTTTTATTTTAAAACGATTAAACTCGCGAACTTGAACATTATTCTACTGAAAACTACTTAATTTTAGCTTTATTTCCTAAACTAATTTCACTTTTTTCACCGAGCTGCTTCATATGCGACTTACACGATTTACTTTATTTAATACAAATAACAATTTCTACGAATCATCTGTTAAGGTTGAAATACCGCGAATCACTTCCTGTCAGTGAAATGCGAGCTGCCAGATTTTGCAACCAATGCTTATGAACTTTTCTTAAAAATTATTTCAAGCACCATGATCACCCTGTTATCTAATAATCGGCGTACAACAGTTTGAGCGTCTTTGTAAATAACACTGCACAGCTGTTTCGCGCATTTTTTGTGCGTCGTTCGGAAGTGAGTTTACGGGTTGATTATACAAATTTGTCTGAATATACAAAAAATAACCGAAATATAGTATAAAAATGTGAGCATTGCATGTATTAATGTATGTAAATTGTAAATAAACAAATGAGCGTGATTTTAGGAGCTGACCGTAGGCTTTAGCAGCACACATAACCAGGGTCTGCTGCTAAACACTCAAATATGCTTGCTATGTCAAACGACAACTATGAGGAAGTTGTTATGGAAGGCAAGGTAGTATAGAGTTATTTACATATTGCTATTTCCAAATTTACTTTGTGCTTTTATTTCAGCTTGAACGCGGCATTATTTGCCGAGAGTATGTATAAAAGCTATTGCAACTCAATTTGTGTGTGCAAAACTGTGGAAAGTTGATAATTCCATACATTTTGAACTGCTTTTGCACGAATTTAATGAGGAACATGGCAAATCCAATTAATAAACGTCAAGCGGCTGGGTGATCGACCGCAGCCTGGACATCTGCAGCCTAGAGTTCGATAAAACACCATTAATGGTTACATTTTGCTGCACCTTTTGTAATTTACATGTTAAGCATCACTTGTGCAGTGCCCGATGATTGCAGTTTGCATAAATTAAATATCGTTATGAATTTGTATGCTAATACCTATGCACTACGCGGTATATTTATGCTTCGTTATGAATAGCAAGTTGTTGCGGCAGTAATTAAATTGTAAATGTTGGCGAAAATGTGTGCAATAATAATTGCGAAATGGTTAAAGTTATCGATTGCATGTGTAAATTAAAAGGTTTGTGGTTGTTATTGGTTTATAAAAAACATATATTCGTAAAATGCTATATTCTAACCTAAAATTTTATTTACCTAAGTTTGTTATAGTTGCAAATAAATTAATTTGAAGACACTTTTTATTTTCAGCGTAATAATTAAACAACAATAAATAAATGAAAAGTAAAATATTATTACCGAGATTTGCTGTTATACTTCATACATTGCATCATATACATAATTACATTACATCTATAATAACATTTCATCTACTCATATTGTTAAATACCACGTAAGTTTTCATCTTTTTATAATTATCTTAAACATATTTTGTAGTTATTGCCTAACACTAATGTAAATTTGCAACCCCATTCTTCACATCTTTACAATTTTTAACTCTTAACATGTCTTAGCAAGACGTGAGGATGCGTTCGTCCTCTCACCAAAACTTCCAGCAGCCTTGCATTTACATAAGTTCATTTCCACTTTCAAAGCTCTCTTTATCAACTACGCGCTCTTACATTCAACAGTGTTACACCTGCATGCCAATGTTGCGCAGATCGCTCGCATACACACACTCATGTGTTGATATGTAAGTGACTAAGCTGCGTGCTCATCATTGAGAAATGGAAGTGAGTGACACTTTCATTGTTTGCATTGTTTTTGCAAATTTTTTAATGTTCGAAGATGACCTTCAAAATATTATGCATATAATAAAAGGTAATGAAGTGTTGTGCCGAATTTTCTAGAATCGTGGAATGCGAAATTAAGGGGAAAATTCCAATTGAGGCATACAATGTAACAGTAAAAATATTTATTTACAAGTGGTAAGGAGAGTGGACACACGTAATTTTTGGTTGATGTCGCGAATATTTGTTAAAATCGGTAAAAAGTATTTGTTTAAAATGTTTAATTGGATTTTTAATTAATTTAAAGTTAAAATCGTTAATAAATACAAAAAATAGTGTCGTGAATGTCGCAAAAGTACGAGTTTTTCTGTAAATTCCTTGAGTGCGTGTTCGGGTTTGTTCGCGGGTGTGTATATTAGTGTACATATGTATGTGTGTACGAATGTAACAAGCGGGATGTTACTTGATGCGGTTCACGGTTGCTTTACGTCGCGTGTGTCGGTTATTAAGTGCGATAGTGATGTTATAAAAAATAGCGCGCGGTGTAATATACATAGGTTTAAAAAGGTGAGTTTGTAACCAAATTTTTTGAAATTTATATTATATACATTTTATAACACATTTTCGTCTTTGAATGTACATTAGAACGGGTCGTTTTTTTTATACTAAAAAATGGCGTATGTAGGCATTTTTTTTTGGGACATTCTGAAGAACTTTGCTAAACGAATAAGGGTCTAAAACTGGATTAGAACCAGCGATTTTTATGGCGAATATATTTTAGAGATTACTTACACCTTAAGGTGCTTACCTGGCTTTGATTCCTGCAAGATGCAAGAGTATAAAATGCACGGTTATACCCGAACTTAGCTCTTCCATACTTGTATTTTTTTTTTATTTTAATTTTTTTATATTGTTATATTATTTTTTAAATTTCTTTTCTTCTTTTCCAGAATGCTCCC